TCCTGCACGCCCCCTACTAGGGATTGAGCCCTCAACCCAGGCATGTGCCCCTGACCGGAATCAAACCTGGGACCTTTCAGTCCACAGGCCGATGCTTTATCCACTGAGCCAAACGAGCTAGGGCTTGATTTGCTTTTTATGTAATCTTATGAAGGTTTGTTCTCTTTTAATTTGCCTCTTCCTCCTAAAAAAGCTGGTCTCCAAAACAACAAATGCTAAAAACATTGAAGAGCAGATTGAGGGTTGTTCTTATCGATCTCTGTTGAGAGTTTGAGGCTGCAGAGACATTGAGGTAGAAGTATCTGCGGATCATTTTGCTTCTCTTCTGTTTGCACACTCACCTCACCAGTGGTTGTTGGATGGTCTGTCACTGAATGACTGCTGTTCGGCAGGCATACTGCCAGGCCCCCTTGAAGCATTATCTCGTTGTTTCCTGTGCTCACTGGAAGCCTAAGTGATTGCGAGAGATAATGTAAAGCAGAGAAGAAAGCTAAGTTAGGAGAATTGATTTTTATTTTTTCCCTGTAAAATTTCTGTCTTCTGGCTTTCTCACTCTCTTTTTAAAATTATGCAGCTTTGCCAAATCAGATGAGTTCATTGTCTTCTTGAGGTTAATAGCAGAGCTTGAAACTCCCTCTGCGGACCAGGGTTGTCAGAGAGCGAGCCTGACGCTCAGATTAAGTCGCTTCTTGCCCAAAACAGTAGCTTCAGGAAGCCACTCAGTGATTTATTTGCTATGCCTGATATTCCCTTTCCTGTTAATCCCAGGCATCACTGAGGGGGTCTGCTCCAACACCTGCCTTTTGCCAAGACTCCCACTCTGCTCTTTGAACTGGCAAGGGGTCCATTTTTCCCCCCTTAGGTTCTTGTTGTCTTGAAATACTTTTAAAAAAATTCTTGAGTCCTCCTTATTTCCTTCCTTGGACCTGGGACAGCCTTTTTGTGATGGTGAACTTCATATACTCTTGTTTTCTTTGTATGACCATAAAAGAACTTTTGTACTATTTATTTTACCCTAATAGGGTAGCTATCCTGTTGACTTACTGTAAAGGCTGTCTCTACCTCTGGTCCATCTTATATCAAATTCAGCTCCTCTTATAACTCTGCCTTTCTCAAGACCCTGCAGAGGCTCCCTTTTCTTTTTAATACAGTGTGGACATCTCCTGTTGCCATCAAGGCCCTCTTCAAGATGGTTTCATTGCTCTTCACATTTTGGGGGTCCAAATTTTTTTATTATCCAACCTAGCTAATGTGGGCTACTTGATGTTGGCTGGGCTTAACAGCTACACTTTCCTACATCAGTGAACTTGCTTCAAACTACCACCCCCTTTCCCAAGAAAATAAAGCCCCATTTGAAATGCTACCTTTTCTCATCTCTTCCACACTTCCACACAAGATGTGATCTCCCCTGCTTTGAGCTCCCTCTCTTGTGGCACCATTCACATTCTTTGACATGTCTTGGAATAAATCTGTATGTAGAATATCTTTGAAAGAATACTCATCCAGTGCCTTTGGAGAGAGGAACTGAGTGACTAGGAGACAAGAGAAGAGCTAACTTTTGACTCTACACTCATCTTAGTTTTTAAATTTTATACTATGTATATATTCTTACTGTGTGTTTTCCCCCTGTAAAGGTATTATTTACATAACAAAGATCCAATCTATAAGTTCTGGATAATATTTTTATAACCTCAGAGTAAGGAAAGTGTCCTTAAGACACAAAACTCGGGAGCTATAAAGAAAATGACTTTCAAAATATATGTATGTAATTATTTGTCATATCCCTATTTGACTTACAAGTATCTGAAGTGCTTATGTGTTCTTAAAAATATATATTTTTATTGATTTTCTATTTAGAGAAAGAGGAAGAGAGAGAGAGAGAAACATCATTGAGAGAGAAACATGGATTATTTGCCTCCTGCATGCCCCCTACCGAGCCTGCAACCTGGGAATGTACCCTGACCAGGAATGAAGCTGGTGACCTCTTGGTGCATGGGATGACACTCAATCAATTGAACTACACTGGCCGGGCGAAGTCCTTATGTTTTTATCCTTTTTCAGAGCATAGCACAATGACCCCTACACAGTAATCAATAAATATTAGTTGAATTGAAATGAAATTGAATTGCAAGTCACTTCTTTGTAGACCTCACTTTTTTACTTATAAAAATGAGTGCTAGGTGACCTTCAGGATCTCACTCAAAGATCCTGTGAAGATGTGGGCTTTAAGAGCATAAATTCCCAGCAAAGCAGGAGTGGCTTTAGAATCAGCTCTTCCCTGGAGACCATCCTTCCCAACACACTTGACCTGTGTGGGGGTCTTGCCTGCTTCAGGGATGCTCTGCATTAATTATGCTGAGAAAATGAACCAGTTAGACACAGTCGGAGGAGAGCTGGAGGCGTCTGTGTGGCAGGCTTGTTGCCTGAACAAAAGAGTTAAAGGGTGAAGCAGTTTGCTGAGGTTTCTTTGGAAATGTAGCTGGCCAGCTCTTTGAACTATTTGGCCGAAGTTTAAAGAGGCACCAGAAGGAGTGTTTGGTGTCTGTCTGTGTCTTGGTGGCTTGGAAACAGTCTGGGGAAGGTGTGTCCTTAGAGGCGACCGAGGAGACATGGGGACCCATCTCCTAGTGGACTCATCTCGTAGTTTCAGACTTCTCCTCCTGATCCCTGTGGCACCTATCCCAGCTTTGTTTTAGTAACAGCTCTTTTAAAATGGAGTTTTCCCCCATCTTAGTGATAAGCAACTAGAGAGCAGGGAGCCATCCTCTATCCTCACCAACAGTCAGCTTGCTTAAGAGCATTTTGTAGGTTGAAGGGAAGTGGTATTTGGTGTGAGGCTGTAAGGGCACCTCTGAGTAAGAGAGTAGTGGGTGGGCCTCTGAATGGGAGAGCGCCATATCTGGGACAGACAGAGAGACTCTAGGTCTGTTAGAGGAAGTGAAAACAAAAAAACAAGAAACCCACAGTTCCTGTTCTCAATACTGATGTCCTTGTGGTATTCAGAATAGGGGGCAGGATGTTAGCAAAATTGAATGTCCATTGGAAACTTTTATCTTTCTTACATTAGTAAGGCTTCGGAAAGTTGAAGTTTGTGGGTGCCATTCGGCCAGTGTGTCTTCTCCCCCAGCTTAGTCTTCCAAACAATGATCCCTTAGTCCCCACACTGTGTCCCTCCTATTTTGGCTAAGTACACCACTTAATCCACTTCCTAGGATTTCAGTTCTTCGGTGTCTGTCCAGGGTCAGAAGGGCAGGCCATGGAATCTCCCCTCCAGGCTGCTCGGACCTCCCACCTTCCAGCTCCTCTGACTGATCATTACTGCAACTTCTCTACACTGGGGTTCCCAGTGTTTGAATGATACACTTGACACTTCTTAAAGGCCCACTCAGCTAATGGGGCAGAAGTAGTGTCTGCTGGTGTAAAGAGCACAGGTTTTAGAACCAGAAGACTTGACTCTGCTTCCAGATCTGCTATTTAATCTGCATACACTTGGCTAAAAGTTATTTAACTTTTGTGGGCCTTGCTGTCCTCATCTTCAAAGGGGATGTCAGAACGAATCCTTCATGGAGTTGTCAGAACGAGTAAGATAGGATGTGAATGTGCTTTTGGTTTTTTTTTTAATAATTTATTGGGATTACATTGGTTAATAAAATTACATAGGTCTAGGTTGAGACGGTCCTGGTGAGGTTGCATATAGGCCCTGGTGAGGTTGAGATGGCCCTGGCAAGGCTAAGACGGCCCCAGTGAGGTTGAATCGGCCCCGGTGAGGTCGAGACGGCCCCGGTGAGGTCGAGACGGCCCATGTGAGGCTGGGACAGCCCTGGTGGGGTTGAGATGGCCCCGGCGAGGCTGGGACGGCCCCTGAGAAGCTGAGAAAAATACCACATGAACTCACTCATTTACGGATAATAAGGACCATTATAGACTGATGAACAAAAATGGATACAGAGGCAGAGTAGCATTGAGCAGAATGTAAAACTACAGTGGGAAGCCTAGGGAGGGGGGATGGGGTAGGAGCTCAACCGAAGGACTTGTATGCATGCATATGAGAATAACCAATGGACACAAGACACTGGGGGGGTGGGGGAGGCCGGCGGAATGTCAAGGGGGGAAAAAAAGGAGACGTGTAATACTCTTTGTAATACTTTAAGAAATAAAAAAATAAAAAATTACATAGGTCTTAAGTATAGAATTCTATAATATATCATTTGTATATTATATTGTGGAAGGTGCTTTTAAAACTAGACAGTCTTACCCCAACAAAAAAATGGAGACAAGTGATGCCAGTGAATTATTATAGTCAGGAAGTGGGAGGTGCTCCCAGGAAATCCTTTAGAAATCCCCTCTGCCACTGAGAAGGCTATTTTTTTAATTAATATATTTGTATTGATTTCAGAGAGGAAGGGAGATAGCAACATCAATGATAAGAGAGAATCATTGATCAGCTGCCTCCTGCACACCCCACCCTGAGGATCGAGCCCACAACCTGGGCATGTGCCCTGAGCGGGAATTGAACTGTGATCTCCTGGTTCATAGTTCAATGCTCAACCACTGAGCCACACCAGCCAGGCGAGAAGGCACATTTTTATCATACAATGGTATTGATACTGGAAATAAGGCTAACATGTCCCCCCATGCAAGTTAAGAGGGTTTTTTTTACCACCTTTCACTGATTCACTGTGTGTTTCAACAGGTGTTATTAAAGCCTTATTATGTGCTAGATCTCTGTAAGTTCAGGACTTCGTCAGAGTCTACCATTCGCTTGTGGGAACAGTGGGGAGAGGAGTGTTGGAATCAGCCAAACTAAAATCATTGCCAGCGCCCTTCACTCTTTCAGTGGCAACTTGCATTTCCACATTGGGCCAACAGCCTCTCCAAGACACTGGCTCTGTACTCCTTGTGTTTCTTGTTGGAGCCTTTGGAACTGTCCTCTGAGTCACTGAGAGGACTCCCACTGGAAAACCACTCCACTATTTCTCACTCTCTCTTTGTCTTTGCAGTGTGTTCCCTGCCCCCGGAGCCAGAGAATGGTGGCTATGTCTGCCACCCCCGGCCCTGCAGAGACCCCTTGAACTCAGGCAGTGTCATCGAGTACCTGTGTGCTGAAGGCTACGTGCTAAAGGGCGATTACAAATACCTGACGTGTAAGAATGGCGAATGGAAACCAGCCATGGAGATTAGCTGCCATCTTAACGAGGGTCAGTTTGGCAGATGAGAAAGGGGTTCTGTTTTCTTTTAACTCAAGGGAAGTGGTGCCCGCTTCTTCCTGAGCATCCTGTGCTGTGGGGCAGTATGGGCCCTTTGATGCCCTGCAGACTCCCTTCCTTTGGGGTTGCTCGTGTGTGTCCCACTGTGGTTCATCTGAGCCACCAAGGGGCTCAGTAGCTTTGCTGAGGCATCTGTTCGGCTGTGTAAGATCGCTTTGATGCTCCTGATCTTTTGTTTGCCTAGCCAAGTGCTGGTGACCTTTAACCGTGTTCTGCTAACACATGAGCACCATGCTAACACCTTCTATAGTGTCTCTTTTATATTATTATTTTTGAATGGTAATGAACTGTTTTGTTATGGAGCTATAGTCCAGCTGGACAGAAGACCTCCCCCACCTCCTGTCATGCACGACGGGAAAATGCAGCTGCCTGCAGGAAAGATACAGCCATCTTTGTGCTTCACACTCGGGTTCTGAGGCCATCACACCCAGAGAAGGGTGGGAACTAGCCTGAGAGTTAACAACTAAAACTGCATGATCTTAGAACAGGGGAAGGTTATTATAGCCCGGTTCTTAAAATTTTTCTGCCACATTGGGAAAAAGATAGGTGGGACTTAAAATGGTGGACTGATGTGTTCATTTAAATGGTTGCTGTCTACCAGCTGACTACTGGGTACAGTAACAGAAGTGGTTAAAAAGGTAAGATCTCTAGGTGAGTGAGTTTAGGTGTCAGATGGTCCTCCAAGGCCCACAGTGAAGGGAATATTAGATTCAGGAACAGGATAGGGAGATGATCCCTTTTCTTGTGTGTATAAACTGTTTTGCAGTGTTACTCCTAAAAATGTCCTTGGCCAACGTATGTCTCTGCACAGCACCATGCAGGGGGCCTTTGATAAGATCAGCTGTGGGGCTCATGTTGTATTTGTCTGGATACAAATCTCTTCTGATGATGGCTTGTTTCTGTAGAGAAAGACACCAAGACATCATTTGGGGTCCCCACACTGTCCATCGTGGCTTCCACTGCCAGCTCCGTGGCACTCATTCTCCTCCTCGTGGTGCTGTTTGTGTTGCTGCAGCCAAAGCTGAAGTCGTTCCATCATAGCAGGTGAGCACAGGTGGCAGGCATCACTGTGGGACTGGCCCTTGGCTGGCATGTCTGCCTGCTGGCCTGTATGTGCCCAGGGAAGGGGAAGGCTCTGTCATTCGCTGATGTGCCTGACACTGTGCTTGTTGCTTTTCAGACATTATCTTAATCCTCATAGGATGAACCCACTATACAATATACAGATGATATATTATACAATTGTACACCTTAAACCTATATAATTTTATCAACCAATGTAACCCCAATAAATTGTTTCAAAAATTTTTCACAGGAGCATTGCAGATAAGGAAACTGAAGCTCAGAGAAGTTAAATCATTTACTCCAGGTCATCCCTAGATCAAGCATGTCAAACTTGCGGCCCGCCAGCCGTGAATTTGAAATGCTTGCTCTAGATCAGCGGTTTCCAGCCTTTCGGACCTTGGGGACCACCACTGGTCCACAGACCACCATTTGGCGACCGCTGCTGCAACGGTTTCCTTAAACCAGTGGTTGCCAACCTTTCAGACCTCAAGGACCACCACTGGTCTACAGACTTCCGGTTGGCAGCCGCTGCTCTAGATGATGACAGGGCTGAGATTTGAACTCATATATGTCCAACGCCAAAACCATGTCCTTTTTCTTACATCAGTAGTTCTCAAAGTGTGGTTCCAGCACCATCAGTGTCATCTGGGAACTTTTAGGAATGCAAATTTTCAGTTCCCACCCCAGAGCAACTGTTGAAACTCTGGGGTTGAGGCTCAATGCCAGGGTTCCACACTCCCTCCAGGTGGTTTGATGCAGGCTCATATTTACAAGTCACTGCCCAATATACCTGGTTCCCAATCCTGGCTGCACATAGAGACTCCTGCTCAGAGTTGAAAACATACCAACACCTGGGCCTCTGCCCCAGCCATTCTGATTTATTTGGTTTGGAGTGGGAATCTGGCACTAGTGTCTTACAAAGTTCCTAAGTGGGTTCCAATGTGCAGCTAGGACTTGGAGCCAGTGCACTATACCAAACTAAAACAGGAGGTGTTTTCTTTTCTGACTTTTTCCAGTTGAGTGCATTAGCCACGTTCCAGATTGGGTGGGTGTGGTTGGGGAGAGGCTGGCCAATGGTGAGGAGTGGCCCCAAGTGGATCCCTTAGGATGGACTTCTCTCCCAGGCTGTCATGGCCTCTGCAGTAGCTCATTCCCTCTCTTGGGAACAGTTTCTATTTATTCAAGCCCTTCATCAGTCACTGTTGTCACTCACAGGCTAAATGAATGTAAGAACAGGCTAACCTGCTTTAAATAAAATGCTTCTGATTTGGAATTTACAGACAAGGACCAGGCTCAGTTTAACCTTTGTGTGGTTTTCTTTTTATTTTGTTTAGTTGGGGCGGTGGGTGGGCATAGCAGCTTTTTTTTTTTTTAATCCTCACACAAGGATGTTTTTTCCATTGCTTTTCAGAGAGAGTGGAGGGGGGCGGTGGAGAGAGAGAGAACTGTTGATGTGAGAGAGACACATTGACTGATTGCCTCCTGCATGTGACCTGATGGGGTAGGAAGCGAACCCGCAACTGAGGTATGTGCCCTTGACTGGAAATCGAACCTTCGAGCCTTCAGTGCATGGGCTGATGGTCTAACCACTATTTTTAAAGGTTGTTAAGCAGTTAGTAGAATAAAGAGGATTTATGAATGCCACTTCTGTCATCCTTACAGTGTGTACTCTATTTGAATTGAGTAGCACAGATTTTATCTCCAATTACAAATGAAGAAATTGAGAACTAATAATAGTCTAGTAATAATGCTGTCCAGCCATAGACCATACGTCTCCAATTGTAATGCACTGAGGAGGACACATCACCTATGTTGTGTTCCAGTAAAAACAATGGGCCTGCACATAATCCCAGAGAAACAATTAGACAAGTCCGGAATGTGGGACATTCTAGGAGACAGCTGGCCTGGAGTCTAGGAAAAAAAAATTGTGATGAAAGAAAAGCTGCAGGGGACTGTTCTAGATTAAAGGAGAAAAGAGAGGGCAGTTAAATGCAGTGCATGATCCTTAAACAGGTCCTGGATGAAAACAAACAACAGCTGAAATGGATATATTTATGGGGAAATTCATGTTACAGTATTATATCAATGTCAGAGAGGGAGAGAGAGAGAGAAAGAAACATCAATGATGAGAATCATTGATGCGCTGCCTCTTGCACACCCCACACTGGGGATTGAGCTCACAACTGGGGCATGTGCCTTGATCGGGAATCAAACCATGACCTCCTGCTTCACAGGTGGCTCAACCACTGAGCCACACCGGCTGGGCATGGAGATATAGTTTACACATCATTCACTGTACTCATTTACGCATACAGACAGTCGTTTTTAGTTATAGCCACAGGTAGCAGCCATCTTTTTCTCACTTCTTATTCTAGCTGTGCTGAATGAATGGCTTTATTTCTAGGTTCCCAGTTTTGCACAGGATCAGAGGGCTAGATGCCTGTGTACCCAGAGGTAAAGAACATAGTTTCTGGAAGCAGGTGGAACTGGATTTAAATCCCAGCTTCCTCCCTTACTAGCTCTTGACTGTGAGCAAGTTATTTAACTTCTCTGAGCCTCATCTGCATTGTTGGTGAAGCTCTACCTGAAAAGGCTCAGGTGAGGATTCAGTGCGATAAAGTATATAAAGCACTTAGTGCTGTGTCAGCGCATAGTAAATACTCAAAAATAGTGTTGTTAGTACAATATTATGGTATTTATTTGTCTGTGTATTTTAATTCTTCCTTTGTCTTTTCCTCCTCCGATGCAGGCGTGACCAGGGGGTATCTGGGGACCAGGTCTCCATCATGGTGGATGGAGTCCAAGTTGCACTACCGTCATATGAGGAGGCTGTGTATGGCAGTTCCGGTCACTGCGTGCCGCCCGCTGACCCCAGAGTACAGATTGTGCTGTCGGAGGGGTCTGGGCCTAGTGGGAGGAATGGGCCACGGGAGCAGCAGCTACAGGACCAGGGGGCTTGCTCCTCTGCGGGTGGGGAGGAGGAGGCCCCGGGCCAGTCTGGACTGTGTGAAGCCTGGGGCTCCCGGGGCTCAGAGACCGTGATAGTGCATCAGGCAACCACCTCTTCCTGGGCGGCCGGCTCAGGGAGCAGCCAGCGGGCACACAAAGAAGCCCCGGATTCAGAGAACAGTGACATACAAAGCCTTCTATCCCTCACGTCGGAGGACTACACAGACGGTAGGTGGTCTGCACCGATCATGAATTGCTAGCAGCTCCAGGCCCTCCTGGGAGTAAGAAAAGTTGTGAGCCTCTAATAATTGGTGTATTAGGGGAGTAGGGAGACAAAGAAAGATAATACCTTGGGTATTAGCCTGCAAAATAGGATTTTACCCTCAGTTCTAGGTGGTTCTTTGGGCTCTGTATAGGGAGACTTTTATTGTGGTCTGTGAATTTTGATAGTTTGGAGTCTCTAAAATTATTCATGGCCACAGGGCTGTGCTAAATCAAGGGATAAACAGCTGGTTGGAGGTGAGGATGAGGTCTGTCCTCATGTAATTTTATACTCCTGAAAGGACAAATTACGGGGAGGTTTGTGGGGTCATATGACAGAGAAACTGGCGCCTGTTCCTTTTCCATAGCATTCAGCTGCTTTGTCTTAAATAGGAGTATGCCAGGGCCTTTGCTAGGTGGTTTTCTTACACTATCTCAGTTAAGCCTCACAGTGATCCTGTGAGGTAGGTATTATATGCTACTGTCCTCATTTTACAGATGAGGAAACGGAGGCTCCAAGAGGCTAAGGTATTTGTCCATTGGTAATTGGTGAGCTGGGATATGAAGCCAGGTGGATCGGTTCCAAAGCCTGTGTTTATGACCCTTGGTACCATGCTGCCTCCCAGATAACTCCAGGTCCTTTGTGGCAAACCAGCTGTAGAACGAAATTGCCACCTCCTGACATCTCTGCTTTTGCCAGGGCCTTGAGAGTTGAATGTTGGGATTGACTCTATCATTTTACATGAAATCCCAGTGTGGTTCAGGATACAGACAAAACTAGATGCTTCCCTTTTGACACCAAGTACTTCTGCACTTACAACCCCCCCCTTCCCGCCCCCAAGAAAGTTTTATGCTTCCAGGGAATCCCAGGCACAGTTAGCATATATGAAAGCAAGGAAATCGGAAATTCTTGAATGAAGATCCTGTTTATGGAGTTTCTCAATGATTAGCAACATGCCTGCCTTCTTTAGGATATAGAGCTAGGAAAGGTCAACTAAATTGTTGACCAGGGTTTAAAGGTGGAAACCATTGACCCCATGGGCAGCCAGCCACACATACTGTCCGTCCAAGTGCACATATACTGTGTGTCCACACAGAGTGACAAATATCCAAGAGCAAATCTCAGCCCTTGCGCTTCCTAAAGAGCCAAGATGGTGCCAGCACTTTCCTTCTTGCTACCTCACTTTGTTCCATGTACCAAACAAGCATTCTGAGCCTAGTGCCAGGTTAGGTTTCAGGGTTGATACTAAGAAATAGAAAACATTCTCTCTGCCTGCTTGGATTGTCAGTCACCTGGGAAGATGGGGCTTATCCTCAAAAAATAATGGAATCAAGAATCCTAGAGTCCATGCCAAAATGAGGGGTTCGGAAAACAAAACACATAGGTTATCAAGTTTGTTGCAGCCCAAGCTGTCTGGGACTGACAGCACCGTAGGAAGTCAGGACCTGAGGTGTCAGTTATTCACTATCACGCAGCTGGACAATGACATTAAGGAGGAGAGGGGACTTGAACAGAGCTCAGTACTATCCACAGGGTGAGATTAGGACAGAAAGAGAAGCAACCAGACAAGCAGTTAAGGCAGAGGAGGCTTCAGGTTGGTGAAATCAGAAGGGGTTTGAATACCAGTCTAAACATTCAGATGTTACCACATAGCCAGGGGGAGAGATGAGCAAAAAGTGCTAAAAAAAAGGGGGGTCGGGGGGTGGGGGGGAAAGGGATTTAGACTACCTAGAAGAGTATGAGTAGTGCATTTTATTTCTTTAAATTAAGGGCCCCTCCAGTGGGGTCTGGTGTGCTGCAGAGACCCACATGGGGTAACCACTGTGCTTCCTTCTCTTCCCTTAGATATCCCGCTGTTGAAAGAAGCATGAGGTTTGCCACCGGCCTCTCTCCTCTGCGATGGTCCTCTCTGCCCTTCGTCCCTCTCCCTGTGGGTTTGAGCACCCTGCCCAGCTAGCTGAGCTGCCACCTGTGGATCTCTGAGGGCATGCAGGCCCACCTTGCTGGAAACTCAAGGAAGATTCTTGCCATCTGCCTGCTTGACAGCTGGAGGAATTGGCTTTTTGCCTGGTCCAGCCTTCCCATCTGTGTCGGTAACATGTTTGAATGTGCCGGACTGAACCCTTCCTTTCCCTGGGCCTGTGGGAGCCCTCCAGCCAATTCTTTGGTGGCCGCCCCAACCAGCCCACATGGGCCAGAGAACCGCTGTGTTTACTTGTGCCTTCCCCCCACCCTGTCCAGGTTCCCTGTCACGCAGGCCTGTTGCTGCCCTACAAGCCTTAGTGGCTGCACTGCTGCCCCCTGCCACACAAGGGGTGGGCCTGGGTCTGGCTTGTTTCCTTTGAGGGCTTATCAGGAGCAGGTCCAAGAGTGGGAGCTGGGGAGACAAGAGGGACTAACTGGAGCAAGAGTGTGGGTCCTTGGGCCTGCCCTTGGTTGACACTGGTGGCACGTTTTCTTGGCTGGGGACGGAGGATGTGGAAAATCTGCCAAAGCTGACCCAGCACCGGCTGTCCAGCTCAGAGGTGCCAGCTCCTGGCCCTGCTGTGTTGAGCTTCCAGGGGATCCCAGGGGAGGGCAGGAAGGTGGCTGATAATGGTTGTCTTCCTAATAGGCAAGTTCACGCCTTCTTCAGCGTGGCTTCCTGGTCTCCGCTTTTCTTTTTCTGGAGTATAAGGGAAAGTTGCATGCTGACACCTGGGGTTTATGCGGCAGCTCCTGCTACCTTGCTGCCCACAGAGTTCTGAGGGGAATCATCCGTGGGTTAGGAGCTCGCTGAGATGCCATGGACTGCCCATCTGCTCACTGACAGAGAGGGCAAGTTGCCCGTTCCGGGTTTGTGGTGACGGAGGGGAACCTGAGAGGCACAGACTAAGTCCCCAGTCCTGAGGGTCCTCCTCACCACAGTCACGTGCCTTAGTAACTGGTCCAGGAAGCGTCCTGCTGTTGCTGCACTTGCTGCTTTTCTTACTCTTGCCCTCCCCTGCTGTCCCTTCCTGCTCACAGCTGACAGATGACTCCCTGATCTTCTTGGGCAAGGGGGAGGTCAGGAGCAGGTCCAGGGGTGTGAGCTGGGGAGACAAGAGGGACTAACTGGAGCAAGAGTGTGGGTCCTTGGGCCTGCCCTTGGTTGACACTGGTGGCACGTTTTCTTGGCTGGGGACGGAGGATGTGGAAAATCTGCCAAAGCTGACCCAGCACCGGCTGTCCAGCTCAGAGGTGCCAGCTCCTGGCCCTGCTGTGTTGAGCTTCCAGGGGATCCCAGGGGAGGGCAGGAAGGTGGCTGATAATGGTTGTCTTCCTAATAGGCAAGTTCACGCCTCCTTCAGCGTGGCTTCCTGGTCTCCGCTTTTCTTTTTCTGGAGTATAAGGGAAAGTTGCATGCTGACACCTGGGGTTTATGCGGCAGCTCCTGCTACCTTGCTGCCCACAGAGTTCTGAGGGGAATCATCCGTGGGTTAGGAGCTCGCTGAGATGCCATGGACTGCCCATCTGCTCACTGACAGGGCAAGTTGCCCGTTCCGGGTTTGTGGTGACGGAGGGGAACCTGAGAGGCACAGACTAAGTCCCCAGTCCTGAGGGTCCTCCTCACCACAGTCACGTGCCTTAGTAACTGGTCCAGGAAGCGTCCTGCTGCTTGCTGCACTGCTGCTTTTCTTACTCTTGCCCTCCCCTGCTGTCCCTTCCTGCTCACAGCTGACAGATGACTCCCTGATCTTCTTGGGCAAGGGGGAGGGGCTGAGAGGCAGTCCTCACCCCCACACACCCTTGTGGGCTGCCTGTGGGTGAAGGGTTGCAGAGCAGCCTGGCACCTGGCCCTGGTGTTGAAGGAGTGGGCTTTGTGCTCCAGATGCTTCTCTGGCTCTCAGCTCTCCCTTAGCCACGTCGTGAATGCTGACAAGGCTGGGGTGGCAAAGCTCAGGCAGGCTGCTTCCATCTTTAAAAAACGTGGCATTTACTTTTGTTTCTGAAACATTGGGGCTGGGGAACTTCCCCCCGACCTCCACCCCATGCTGCCCCTCCGCTCCTTCCCTGAGCCTCTCGGGTGGTAAAATAATAAAGAGCCCAATATATTTTCAATACCTGACCAAGCAGGGTAGCTCCAGGAGTGGGTGGCCTGGAAGATTAGGGGAATGGCCTCCTCTCAGCCTCCTGCCTCCACTCACACACGCACTTTACTACCCGCTCATTCCTGGCCTCTTTCTGTCTCTCTCGTCTTCCTTTTTCTCAGGGTAAGGGCAGTGCCTGCTGTGCCTGTTAGCCACTCCTCCTCCCCCCTCTCCCACCCAGGAGCCTGAGAATTCTGTGCCGGAAGCCCAGGCCAGCACGGTGAGGCATGGAACAGGTTGTCAAAGATGCCAGAACTAGAGGTCAGAGCCTTTGAGGGAGATGAAATGTACCAGGGGGCTGTCCTGAGCCTCAGAAGAGGCCGTTTCCAGAAGAGAGCCTGCCAGCAGTCACGGGCTCTGGGCCTATCTGGATGGTGGGTCCCTCATGACCCAGCCGCCTCCCTATGCGTGGGCTCTCCTTCCCCGCAGGGGTGCCCTTGTCTTCCTCCAAAAAAGAAACCAGGGCACATGGTGTGGGATTTGGAGCCTGCTGAGCCTGCTGATTTATTCCCAGTCATCCAAAACCTGAATTCTAGCCGAGTTTTTTCTTTTAATGAGAGATCTTACTCCTTTTTTATAGCATACTCTGGCATTTTCCCTCCCCTAAGAGATTGCACTTTTTGTTTTGGGATTATTCAGCCCCATAGGTTAACTGGCTCAGGCCTTGGAAAAATGAAGAGCCTTCCTTCTGCAGTGCTCTTCCAGCCAGCCGCCATCAACCCTGTCCTGGGGGCACAGACCCAGACTTGTGTGCCAGCAGGAAGGAAAGAAGGGCAAATGGGAGCCTCCCGTTTTGGCCCCACCTCTCCTCTTCACTTCCTCCCCTCACTCCCTTGTCACTGACATGGAGGAGGCCCACTTCTGGGTCTGTGGGTGCAGGAACCAGGCTTCATCCTGCTGGCATCCATGACAGCTGTTCGTTCTCTTTGCCTGGAGCAGTTCTTGCCATCAACCATTTGCTACTGTCCAGGAGCTTCTGGGTTTTTGTCCCTTGCAAGGGATTAGGGACTTTATAGCTGCCAGGAAGGAGGCTGTCAGAGGAGCCTGGAGCAGGTGGGAGAACTGTCCGTAGCCTGGCTTTTCTGGGCTCACCTCTAGGGGAGTCCCAGAGGGCTTCTCCAGGAGAGTGGTCAGCACCAAAGGACTTTATTTGAAAAGGTATTTTTTGCACACATGAGCTAATAACTCAATGCAGGTTTCATGTCCTGGCAACTTGCAGTTACATTCCAGTGACTTACAAGGGCCAGTCTTTGGTGAAGATCACATATATTTCCATCCCTTTCCATGCCTTAGTTTAGCAAGTAGGCTCTATCTTTTGCCATTTCTGGATTTTGTGTGCTGTGTTCCCATTTCACTCAGCGTGAACTGTGAAATGGGCTGAGTCCTGGCCAATTGTGAGTTCTTTTGGGTTATAAGGCATTTCAGTGTGTGTTGTAACACTCCATTTGCAAATAAAACTGGAACTAATGTTATCTTCCCCATTCATCTTGCCTTCCACCCCCCACCTCCCCCAAGTTCTGTGGAATGGCAAGACTGACAAAGGTATCTTCTTCCTGCCTCATTCGTTAGTGGTGGCACAGGGACGATAGCACTCAGCCTCTCCCTCCCAGTCTCAGCTGAGCGCTCAGACCACTTGCTTACCCCGTAACAATGCCACTTCCATTCCCAGATTACATGCTTACATCAAGAGCAGAATATGCTGCAAACATTTCTACATCCTTGCTTTCCTCCCCTCCCCACCCCCCCAAGAGAATAAAGGACCAGAAGGGAAGTGGTATGCAGGCTTTCCAGCTGAACCCCAGATGTGCTGGCTGGGAGCTTCTCTCAGGGCCTCCTGGGGCTCAGCATAGGGACAGACATTACTGATGATCAGTGAAGAGCTCAGAGGGACTTTGCTTGGCAGGCTCAGCTTTGCTGGAAAACTCGTAATCTCCAGTTGAAAACCTAGTAGAATTTTGAATGAAACCTCAAAGTTAAACCCTGCGCCAGGCAGCAGAGCTCTCTGGAGAGGGTGCAGAGGCAGAGCACTTGGATTGCCAAGCAGGGGGGAGAGATAGATGAGGATTGTGTGGCCGCCCACCACACCCTGCCCTGGCTTATCACACCACTATGGAACCTTGCAGAATGGTACTCACATAATGGTTTAAAACAACACTTGCATCATTGACTATGTGCAGGATGTCAGTCAGTTTGGGTTTGCTTTATTTTATATATATTTTTTGGTATCCTGTACATTGCAGTGGGTGTGAAGATAGTATTTTAATATTTGTACAAAGTTTAATTTAATTTTAATTCTATGTATATAACTGCATTTCTAAATAATAAAAAAAGTTCTTATGAGGCAGTTGTGAGAGATGTGATCCTTCCGTAAAATTTTTATAGAAACCCTAGGTTGAAAAGATTGTGTGTGGGTAGGAGCTCGTGAAGGGATGAAGGACCAGCTCTGGGGAGAGGTGCCTTTCAGGAGATGGAGATAGGACAGGGAGGTGGTCCATGCCACAAGGAAGAGAGACCACAAACATAAGTGGGAATACATTTTTCTCTTTAGAAACGCGCTCAGTGTGCCAGCTACCGTTTTCATGCTGGGATTGAGCAGTGAGCAAGACCTGCATGGATTTCTAATGTGCTGGGAAGGCAGGCAGTTACAACGGTGCCTGATGACAGTGTGATCGGGGAAGCGTAAGGGAGCGTAGGCAACGCTCTTTTTGGACAAACTGTCATTTAAGCTGAGATGTGAGGGCCGGTACAGCGAGGCTAAGGGGCAAAACACTACGTGTGTGGGTGCAGAGGCAGCAGAAAGCACAGCCAGTGTGAGAAACTAAAAGGACTCTAGTGCTGCTGCACGGCAGGCTGAGGGAGAGGGCAGAGGCTAGGTGGTGGAGGCAGGGCTTCTCCAGCCACCTGGGAAGCTTCCCTTTATCCTAAGGGCAAGGGGCAGTGCTGACAGGTTTAAGGAGCGGATTGACTCACTAAGCTCTGCATGTGGGGGGAGTGGGGAAGCTCTCTCCAGGTCTTAAGAAGAGAGCCTTCAGGGGATGCAGCATCCCGTACCTGGAGACCATGGAAGAATTGTAGGTCTGTGGGGGAAGAAGCAATCCTCTGAGATGGAGAGATGGAAGACCCCTGTGGGAGAGGAGATGTTGGAGATCTAAAAAGTGAAGAGGCGGAGCACGCAGAGGTGAAGAGGTCATTGCCAGGTAGGCAGGCTGACAGCAAGGAGCCCTCCTGGCAGGTGGTAAGGGTGTGAGTGGAGGGAGGCACTGGGCACTTCGCTGTGCTGACACGAGCTCTGGGTGTCATGGTCAGGGTGACTGGTTTTCCTACCTCACAGTGTTGGGTGGGAAAACAGTTTAGTCTTAATCTCAGTGGCACCAGTCCTCAGGAGGCTCCACACAAACATAATTGCCGTCGTTGCAAAGAAGGTGAAGGGAAGAGCAGTTTAATAGCTGGTACTTAAAAACCACTTACATGTGCCAGGCACAGTTGGAAGCCTATAGTGTGGAATCCACACAGCAACTAACAAGGCAGGCGCCGTTATCACCTGCAGCCCCAGGCCACCTAAAAGCCAGGCACGAAGACCTGCATTAACTTGCCCAAGGTGGAGCCAGGATTTAATTCAAGCCCAGGTAGTTCTAAAATGACTCCCACCCCTACCCCATCAGACGCAGCCTGCCTCTCAAAGGCCTCACCGCCTCCTTTCTGCCTTTACAGACTGTTCTAACCAACGAGCTTCAGGTAGAAAATGGGCAGAAACAGGTCCCATCAGGTAAGGAATGCTGGGGAAGGGAGACGTGTCAACATGGGGTCACCGCTGGGATTGTTGCCTTTTGATGGCAGGTGGTGGGTGGGGACAACGATAACAAAGCCCACAGAACCTGCAGGGCTGCTGGGGAAGGGCTGTCTGCGAAGTGGTTGCTTCGCATTGAGAAAGGTGGATGGGAGGAGAGAGAAGGAATTCCTGCCCTGCTGCGGAATCCCATCTCACAGTTTGGAAAGTTGAGACCCCTAGACAGCAACAAAAGTAGTAACAAGCTCTCAGCGTCTTTCTCAGAATATTTAAAAATACCTTTAGCCGGGCCAGTGCTCAGTGGTTGAGCGTTGACCTATGAACCAGGAGGTCACGGTTCAATTCCCGGTCAGGGCACATGCCCGGGTTGTGGGCTTGATCCCCAGTGTGCAGGAGGCAACTGATTGATGATTCTCATCAGTAATGTTTCTATTTTTCTTTCCCTCTCCCTTCTCTGCAATTAATAAAAATTATTTTAAAAATGTTTAAATATGCCAAAGTAATACTTTTTTTTTATCTCAGTAGAAAGAAAATTAAAATTATCCATAACACCACCTCCTACTGGCAGTGTTGTTCTTTTTTCTATGCCTGTATTTTCCTCTTTGAAAGGATCCCTTTTTAATAGTATTTTGGTTTTTTTAAATATACAGTCTCTTAGCCCATAAAACATTCATCTATATCACTTTAAAGGCTGCAAAATTTTCTATCATATTGGAAATTTGGACTTTCAGGTTGCCATTTTTTTTAAACTCTTATGACCAATGGTTTGATAGCATTTTAGATTATTTTCTTAGGATAAATTGCTGGAGAGAAAATTGCTGGATCAAGAGAAATGCACATTTTAAGGGCTTTTGATATACCTCAAATTGCCCACAATGAAAGTTATCCCAAATTATATTTTCATTGGTAGTGTTCATTTTCCCACAACCTCACCAGCATTGGCAATTATCAATTTAAAAAATGTACCAGTCGAAAGAAAATGATATTGTTTTGATTCATGTTTGTTTTATTAATTTTTAAAATATATGTTTGCTTAACTCTTTATAACAAAAACGTATTGGAAACTGTCCAAGTTTGAAGGCCAAGATATCCATGTTTGAGAGGAAAAGTCAAAACTGTGATTTCCTCTCTGAATTACATATGGGTTATTGGAATATGGAATATATAAAACACATGGTTTATTTAATTTAGAGGAGGCATCACAGTTTTGACATATAATTTCATTTTAAGTTCCTGAGGCAAGGAATTAATCTGAACCTGGGGCAAGAGGTGGCACATTCCCAGGCAGCCCTGGTCCCTCCTCCAAGCTCCCTGGTGGAGCAGCATTGCAGGCTTTGCAGGGCTTGGGGACGGTCCCATCCCACACCGAGAGATGAATAGCTGTCCAGCATTTCCTATTTCCCATGACACCCAGGGTCCCCAGAGAAGGAAATTTCACAACATGGGAATTTTCCTGAGCAGACCATCTGGGGCAGCGTGAACTGTCTGAGACCCGGGCAGGAAATGATTCTCAACTTGGCAGGCAGCGCAGAGGGTTTAGCAAGAGTGGGCTTCCCCAGCAGAGGCGGCCTGTTTGCAGGTCAAGCCTGCTGGCTGGGGCTGAACATCTGTGTGTGTGTGTGTGTGTGTGTGAAGGCACAACCCAAACACACTAAGCACAGGGGCTGCTGTGGCTTCTGGGTGGTCTCGTGAGACCCTTAAGCCTCTGTGCTCCAAGGAGATGTAGAAACTTTTGGTGCCATAGCCTCTCTGTGGGATGACCACTCCCTCTCGCACTGCAATCGCTTCTTCACTCATTCATTTGCAAATTCATTCAACAAGACCACAGTTTTTCTTTTTAGGATTTATACAAAGCCTTGTACTAGGTCCAGGGCACAGCCACAGATAAGACTCAGTCATTGCCCTCAGTGAGTATGCAGGAGATTAAACCTCTGCCTAAAACTTAAGGCAGAATTTTACCAAAAGAAAAGCTCCAGTGAGTGCCAGCATGACTTGGGAAGTGCGTGAAGAAGGAGCTGTGGGGTGAGAAGTGGGAACCGGAGGACTTTTTAGGTTGGAGACCTATAGGAACAAAAGTACCAACATACAAAACCATGAATCACATGAAATGGCCATTTTTTGCAGGTTAATAAAAAAGGTCACGCCGAAACTGGTTTGGCTCAGTGGATAGAGCGTCGGCCTGCGGACTGAAGGGTCCCAGGTTCGATTCCGGTTAAGGGCATGTACCTGGGTTGCGGGCACATCCCCAGTGGGGGATGTGCAGGAGGCAGCTGGTCGATGTTTCTCTCTCATCGATGTTTCTGACTCTCTGTCTCTCTCCCTTCCTCTCTGTAGAAAATCAATAAAATATATTAAAAAAAAAAAAGGTGACATAGGCAATTTCAACCTAGTATATAATTGTATGAAGACCTGCCAAAATTAGAGATGCCTTTCTTACAGATGTCCTTATGTGTGAAATGTCCTGTGTGTACCAGTTATTCATTGCAATTTGAAAAGAAGCTAAAGAATCAGGGAGGACTGTGGGACTGAGGGCCCAGCACACCCGACCAATGGGAGCACCGAAGCCTGTTTCTGGGAATCGCATCTGGGGTGAAAGCAGAATGGCTGGACTTCCAGGGCAGAGCGCTCGGAAGGGGCACGGACGGCCCAAAGCACAGCCAGCCTGTGAGGGCTGAACCTGGGAGGCTGTCATGGGCCTCTCTGACTTCTCCCCAGCAGCTCAAGCTCTGAGGCTGCCAAGGGTGATCAGGGATTGGTGGCAGGACAGTCTGCAGGGGAGAGAATCCGATTTCCTCTCTCAGACAGACAACCCCTTCACTGAGATCTTAAAGCAGTTCCTGGATTTGGGAGCTCGGCCTATGGGTGACTCTCCATGCTCAGTCCCTTTTGCCAATGCTGGAGCCCACGGAGCAGGATGGCGTGGCTTGCTAGCGCCGCCTAGTGTCGGATGAGGCATGGTCCTCCGCTGGTCAGGGAAGGGGAGGCTCAGGCCAGGGGGTGAGAAGGAAGGGAAAGTTGAGAGCAGCCTGCAGTGGAGTTTTGGGCAGCTTCCGCCCCCTGGGTTGGGGCCTGGTAGAAATGTGACCCAGGAATCAATGAGCCTTGGACACTGTATTCATTTCTAGGGTTGCCGTAACAAATTGCCCACTAACTAGGTGGCTCAAAGCCCCAGAAAGTTGTTCTCTCACAGTTCTGGAGGCTACAAGTCCAAATTAAGGTGTCAGTGGGGGCTGCCTCTGGTGGCCACAGTTGCTTGTTGGCTTATACACAGCAGTCCAATCTCTGCCTCCGTCTGCCATGGTGTCTTCCATGTGTGTCTGTGTCCAAATTTCCCTCCACTTACGAGGACACCAGTCACCAGGTTAAGATCTGTCCAATCCAGGACGACCTCGCCTTAACTTGATTACATCTGCAAAGACCTGGTTCCAAATGAGGTCACATCCACAGGTACTGGTGGTTACACCTTGTCGAGGGGACACACAACAGATTCATCTCACAGATGTTCCCCGAGCACCGGCAAAGTGCCAGGCCTGTGCTGGGCTGGGCCTGCGGGGCTGAATTCATGACACTGGTCTGTCCTTGAGTTTCTCACGCGCGGCACCTTAATAGTTCTGTTCCTGATGTGTGGCCTCCTGTTCACCCTGGATTCTTCAGCACCCAGCAAGGCAGCCCAGAGACTCGGCATTTCATTTTAGTAGGGAGGAAGGACGCGGGAAGGGCAGGGGAGAGGAAACAAGGCTGCAGGAATGACGAGGAGGGAGATGACACCGGGAAAGGGCAGTTGGCTGGAGCCTGTGCAAGAGCAAGTGACATTGGAGCTGGGTCTGTAGCAGCTGGAGTTTGCCAGACAGCACAGGGATGGCAAGGGGGAGGGCTTTCCAGGCTGAGCTAAAAGTGTGAACGTTGGCCTGGGCCTGTGGAAGGGGCTTCGATGTTGGGGGAGTTCAGTGTGGTTTCAAAAGGGTATATGGGTGTGGAGGTGCTGCCAAGGGCCAGGGACGCCCTGGAGACTGACTCTGATGAGTGGCTTTGGGGGCCCTTCCCATGGCTTTGACTAATGTCCCGGGAGGTTTTAAAGGTGCAGGCTGTTCAGCAGGCAGGGGCCAGGGAGACCAGCAGGCTCCTGGATAAAAATAAAAAGATCCAATCACAGAACTTCCCTCACGTTCTGGCAGCAGCTAGAATAAAACCATGCTGCCTTGAGACTTCCCCAGATACTTAACACAAGCCCCTGGTCGCATCTTCTCATCAAGGTGTGTAATCTCGCTTGTGGCAACAAGTACCAGGGAACAGGATCTGTGTGACTATTGCCGTGTCCCCTCATAGCCTTTGACTGTGGGCATCAATGTGGTTAAGAAACTGTCTTTTAATTTCTAGTTTGCTGACTGTTGTTAACAACGAACCAGTGTTTGATTTTAGCAAGTGCTTTTCTGCAGCTATGTAGTGTATTTTGCTACTGAATATCAATAGAATTTATTGCTATTAAACCATCTTTGTATCCTTGCTAAACTCTACTTGGTTATAATAAGAGCACATGGGCATGTGTGCTTGTGTGTTTTAAAATATACTGCTATTTTAAAAAGATTTTTATTGATTTCAGGGAGGAAGAGAGAGGGGAAGAGGTAGAAACATCAATGATGAGAGAGAATCATTGATTGGCTGTCTCCTGCACGCCCCCCACTAGGGATCAAGCCTGCAACCCGGGCATGTGCCTTGACCGGAATTGAACCCAGGACCCTGCTCTGTATCAGCTGAGCCAAACCGGCTAGGGCTACACTGCTATTTTTAATGTATGCGTTTATGGTCATACGTGAATATGGTCTATAATTTTCTTTTCTTGTCCTTGTTTGCTTATCAGAGCTATGTGAACCCTATAAAATAAAATATGTAGCTTCCCTCTTTAATTGTCTAAAAGAGTGTAGGATATAAAATTTATTACTTTCTTAACATTTGGATAAAACTGACTTATAAAACCATATGTGCCTGGTGTCTATTGGTGGGAGAGACTTTTGATTACCAGTGAAACTTCCTGAATGATTATTGATTTAGTTAGTTTTTTTCATTTTATTGAGAGAATTTCAATGATTTTCTTCTATAAAGTTATCTATTTTGATATATTTTCAAATTCATTTGTATAAAGTGGTTCAAGATATTTTGAT